GCTCTGGAGCTACTTGTACTTGTCCTCTGCTCTTCCTCAGTGGCATGTTGGACGCCTTCCAACCTGAGAGGCCCATCTTCCAGCGTCATATCTTTTAGCCTTTTGTTTCTGATCATGGGGCGTTCTTGGAAAAGATACTGGAGTGGCATTGCCAGTTCCAACTCCAGGTGGATTGCGTTTCATCAGAACTCTCCACTATGACTTGTGTCCGTCTTGGGTGTCCCTGCACGGCATAGCCCATAGCTTCTCTGAGTTACTCAAGCCCCTTCGCCATGATGAGGCAGCAATCTATGAAGGGATTTTAAAGATGTAGCTAGTGGCTTTCTCTGGAGTAAGCACAAGAGCCTTTTGGTAACATTTTTGGCCAAAGTTATCTAATAAAACAAAAATTGCAGACCACAATGAGATTAATGTCCTTTTTACCACCACCCATGCTAGAGTTCAAACATAGATCAAGTCCCTTGCATTAACTCAAGAGTAAGAAAGAAAAAAAAGACACATTTACTGGCTACATTTTAAAAGTGTCTTCTAGTATGAGATTCAGAGTAGTAACTCAACCTAAAACCTTGTTATATGAGTCGCTGTAAATCCATGTCATTTGAAGTATTCCAATTTTTAGGATTTGACCTGATTGTCCATTCTTACTAATAGTAGACAGTTAATTGTATATATATCACATGTTGCAGTTGGAACGTGGTACACAGAAACAAAAAAACAAAACAACCAGCACAGATTCCTCATTTTTCTTTTCTTTTAAATGGAAAGAATGAATCTGTGCTCCCAAACTGAGACCTTGTGTGCCAAGTCGCAGCCTGGAGCATATTTTTATAGCTGAGTTATAAACCCCTGAAAAATGGGGTTTTGTAATGGAAGCGGGAGACATGATGAATGGATCACTTTATTTAATTAGAGTTCTTTTATCCTTTCCACTTCCACACACACTTTTCTTGGCTACAAAAGATGCTGTGCCAGCTCTTCTCCCCTTCTCTTATCTGCCTCATGTGATCCTGTGTATCTCCACAGGGTCAGAAAGAGGACATTTTTTATTGGCTCTAATGAGGTAGAAGACAGGCTAAGAAAATATTTCATACTGATTTAGTATGCTTTAAGTAGAATTGATTCAAGCAGTTTGCTTTCAGTCATCCTTTCTGAAGATGTATCCCTATCCCCTTCAGCTATCGTAACCTAGGAGCTGTCAGTTTAGAAGGAGCAGCGTCAGGAACCCTTCCACACCACTAGTTCCTGTCACTTTTTATTTTTGAACACTATTAACTGTGGTGCAACTTTGGTGCACAGTCTTCAAGTATCCATGTTGATGTCTTGCCATGCATTATTGCTTGGTACTTCTTTTCCAATAACCCTCTCAACCCAAAGGAATTACAATTAAGGTGAATGGTCTCTTTTTCTTAACAGGAAGCAGGACTGCCACTCTCTTGCTGCTCAATACTATGAAGTAAATGAAATATTTTTATTCAGTAAGAATATCTGCTTACTTGTGCTTTGCAATGTTTGCTTGCTGTTTCTTAGATTATTTCAATTTTGTGGAGTTTTCTCACCTTTTCAGTCTCAAGCTATTTAAAAAGGAAGCACACATAGTCCAATTTATGCACTTCTCCCTCCCACAGCAGTGCAGTGCCCACTCTGTTACTGTATTAGCAGGATGAGCTCATGATCTAAGCAGGGGACACCTAACCCTCAAATTTCTGGGTGAGAGATCCCCTTCTCCAGCCATGCTATGTGCTGCTTATTTCAAGGAGTCTCCCAAATATGAACCTGTAAGTCAAATTCTCCCACTCAAAAGTGGTGAGGAGTGGGTTTTTAAAACAAGAGAATCAAGGGGGCAATAATGAGCCTCTAAACATAGCCACAGTATTTATTGTGACTGCAGTTACTACAAAATCCTTGCTGCATTCTGAAGAATTATACATCTGAATTAGATTAGATGCTTGAAGTGCCATTTGCTGAATTCTCCCATTTATTTCCAGAGTGGAGAAAACATGCTGAAGCCACTTAGACATTCTGTATTTGTGTCTCTCTTCACCTTTAACAACTATGACGAATCAGGAAAATCTGATACGTGAGCAGTGCAGAAGAGAAAAAGGCATAAAAACATTTAATCTAAGCAATATTTGTGGAACCTTAAAAGTTAATATCTTACAGATAGCCTGTTGTAGACTTCTAGATTTTAACTCCCAGCTTTTACAATTGTGTCTAAAACTAATTTTCATATCATTTGTCCCTCCTTATTTCTTGGGCCAGTTTGTACCATGAGAAAAATCAAGTGCACACCTGTCGAGACTGTGCCAGCCCTCGGTTTTGAGTGATGCATTTGTGAGTGTTTCTGTACATGGGGGGAAAGTATCTATATACATATTAATAGCTTGTTAGGGGGAAGTTCTTTTTGCCAAATCTTCCTCATTTATGTATTCGCTCTGAATATCCAGGAAGGGGGCAAAATGAAACATCTGAAGAGCCCCTCCTGCTCCCTCTTCCTGTAATTGATTGACACCCCCAAGCTGTTGCATAAGATTGGGTAGACCAGGCTTATTGTAACAAAAGCTTTTCATCCTGCTGATACTTAAAGATATATAAGACAGCCAAGCAAAAGTACAAGATGCAAAAATATGCAGATCCAGGTTTGTACATTGTCCAGCGTTATCAGTGATGAGTGATGAGTTGTCACAGAACCTAAAAGACTAAAGAGGTACCATTCTGTGTCTTCATTAAATAGTGCTGCCAAAGAAATGGAATGCCTAGTGTGACGTATAGTAGTAGCTAGAGTGATGAACTAGGACTCTGGGGACCAGGGTTTAAATCCCTGCTCGGCCATGGAGACTCACTGGGAGAGTGGAACTGGTAAAACCACTCCTTAAATACTTCACTTACCTTGAAAGCCCTGTTAGGGTTGCTATAAGTTGGTTCCGATTGGATAGCACATAACAAAACAGTAGCAACAAGCAAAGAAACACATGGTGCAGTTCCTGATAGTTTCTACATGCAGCACCACTTCTGAGATCTTTAGATAATTTGCACAGCATATTCAGAACCCTAACTATGTATGTGTGAAATTTCACAATAGTCGTAGATAACTGAAGTCTCAGGCATTTAACTCAGGGTATGTTGGATAAAAGCTTTGCTATACATTGAAGTTGATCCCATGTCATGCGATCAACATCATTGGAGAAAGATGTTATGCTCAGAATGGTCCATGGTAAAAGATGCCAAGGATGCCAAGGAATGGCTTGGTTGGATGTGATCAAATATATAGTACTGCCCAAAATATAAAGCAACTGACTGAAGCTGTACAAGATCGGAAATCATGGAGAGAAATGGCTCATGGAATCGCCAAGGGTGGGATATGACTGAATGGATAATTTGATTTGAAACTCACCCCTTCAATTTTAGGTCAGCACATGGACATACAGCTTGTGCAGTTTCTATTTCCATATCATTTCCGTCCAAAATGTAAATTTATCTTCCTGTTTTCTTTTAATAAAGTTGTTCCTGCCCTATTGGATTTGAGGGGAAGAAATGTGAAGTGAATCCAGATGACTGTGAAGATAATGACTGTGAAAACAACGCAACTTGTATAGATGGGATAAACAACTATGCCTGTCAATGCCTCCCTAACTATACAGGTAAGCAAGCTATTGCTAGAAGTATATTCAGAGATTCTGAGGTCTGTCTGCCATTAATCACACTGCATATAATTATACTGTGGAATTTGCTACCACAATATGAAGTGATGGTTACCAGTGTTAACAAATATATAGAGATTTGGGTTATTATGACTACTAGTCATGATGAACATGTATTGACTCCAGTACCAGCACCAGCTGCTAGGGAATTTGAGCAGGAAAGGGTTGTTGTACTCATGCCCTGCTTGCTGGCTTCCCATGACCTACATCGCTGGCTGTTGTGTGGACAGAATGTAGTAATGGATAGCCTTTGGTCAGATGGACCAGAACTTTCCTTGCAAGTTTCCATTTTAGACATAAAAGCCACAAGTCTTTAATGATGTCTGGGTAAGTGCACTGGATGTACTTGAGAGCTGAACAGAGTGAAAAACACAATGCAATTTTCTGATTTTCAAATAAGGAGAGGGGGTTTGCTTGGCTGTTGTTTGTGTAAAATGGAGTGGTGCTGAGGGCTCAGAATGTCACAGTCTGAGCTATTTCTGTCTCAACAGGACTTTCAATGAATGTGGGGAAAATAGCAGGGATAAAGCTATAATTTCTTAATTTCCACTAAGTCTGCCTTGGTATGGACAGCAAAAATGGTTTGTAAGTGGAGATGGGGTGGGGGTTAGAAGGATGGAATGAATCAGACTAATCCCTTCCTGAGGTTCCGTGACCTATTGCATCTCTCATGAAGACTTAGGGATCTGACTGATTTGCTGGCAGTATTTTCCCCTAAATATTCTTGCTTTAAAATTGCATATTGTAAGAGGTCAGAAACTAAAGTCAGGGAAAAGAGAATATAGTTGTTTGGAAAACTTGGAGATGATCTGAAAAAAAATGGACTGGCCCTTTTCATGGCATGGAACAGAGTGCATTCCAAAGAAGGACCAAGCAATAGTCTGCAAGGCAATAACATATCTTTCTCTTTTATCTCTCTCTCTCTCTCTCTCCGTTTTGTCCTGTATGCACATGTGACAGCAAAAGCTATGATACATCACAGACATACTGCGTACCTATGATATTTGTATGTCTATGTATATACTGTTGTCTTGACACCATTACATTGCCTGAGACACATACAGAAATTAGCAAAATGTAATCTTTTTAAGAGTATTTGCTAAAATGTCACCTTGTAAAAATATTTTGCCATTTCTAAACTTTTCTTCACAGAGCATTGTTAACTGCAAATTACATTACTTAACTATTTGGTAGTTTTCTCTGTTTTGGTAGAGTACCGTTTTGGAGCTGCAACAAATGTGTGATTGAGTGGCTGGGTAGAAAATATGAGGAATTAAGGGGGAGAAAGGAAAATAATGGGGTCACATCTTGGGAACCTAAAAGGGGGGGTTAGGAATCTTTCTGTTAATTTAAATTAAATATCATTACCAGATGATGATATCCTCCTCGCACAGTGTAAGTTCTTATAAAAGGATTCTGGCCATTGATTTAGCTTGGGTTGCTTACTTTTTATGTTCATGAGCTGTAAAATGGGCTCAGAGTCCCATATGTGGTATAAATGTAATATAAAGCACACATCTGGATTTTAGTTATTTCGTGGTGGTTTGTCTAACAGCTTCTTTTCATTTTGAAGTATCTGCTACATTTTATATCTGTGACAGGTTGGAATCTGGGTTGTATTGGCAGCAACTTTAGTCTCCTACCACTACACCAATGGGCACCCCTTTCCTCAGAAGGTTCTCTTCTGGAGTGTTTCTGTTTTCATTTTGAATTGTTGAACTGTATGAGAAATGCATTCCTTAGCACATTGCCATGAACTAACCACTTTAATTATTCATTTGTAACAAACTGTGCATTGCTGCTGATATTTTAAAAATTGGTTTAAAATCAAACATACCATATTTTTCCATCTATAAGATGCTATGTTTTCCTAAAATCATTATATTAAAAATTAAGGGGCGTCTTTTACACAGAAGTAAGCTGAAATAGCTGAAGAAAAAACTAAACGGCACATACCTTGCCTCTGTAAACAGGCTTCAGTCACCAGGCTTATCTTTCCTACAGTCAGGAGACTTTGCTTCCTCCAATCACCAGCCTTATGGAACTGATGTCAGCTGATCCTGAACAAACCAATTGGAGCACACCTCTTTGGAGGTGGAGTCTCTAGGTTCAGATTCAACAAGGACTCAAAATATCTGATGGTCTGAGCCCAGAATTAAGTTTTTTTTAATTTTGGGGTTAGAAAATGGGAGGGTCTTATAAATGGGGGTGTCTTATGAATGGAAATGTTCTGAGCTTTTTTTTAATTTGGGGTTAGAAAATGGGGGGTCTTATAAATGGGGGTATGAATGGAAAAATATGGTAATCAAATTCAGCCAAATTCATTCCTTACATTCAGAGGAAAGTAAGATAAAGACTGAATGAAACTTAAAAAATTTAAGATAAACAAATGATGCCTTATTACTGGCTGAAAACAGCAGTGGCTTGATATGTTTGCTAAGGAATGATAAAGAAAAAAATATAAAAGATTATAGCTGAACATTAAGAAGGTGAGAATCATGGTCACAAAAATGTATAACTTTAATGTTGATAATGAGGAGGTGGAAATTGTTCCTGATATTAATCCAAATGGAGACTGCAACCAAGGATTGAGAAGAAAGCTGAGACTTAGAAGAACAGCTATGAAGAACTTAGAAAAGATCCTCAAATGTAAAGAGATGTCAGTACTGAAAATCAAGGCCAATATAATCTGTGTTTAGGTGTGAAACCTAGACTATGAAAAAAGCTGACAGGAGAAATGGTCAACTCAGTTGAAATGTGGTACTAAACCATTCTCAACCTTCTCCCCACCCATGACCAAATATGAAAGAAATATAGGCCGAATCGGGACTGTCTAAATTGCATAACAAATTTTGCAACTTATGAAATGCCAAAAACAGTTTCCAGCCTGTGGCCCCCTTGAAGTGTGCCAAGGCCCCGTTAAGAATGGTTGTATTAGAGGACTGCTTTGTGGATACCATAAGTTACTGGAATGAAAAATCAGTCAGTTCCAGATCAGAGCAAGCCTATATGTATACTCATTAGAAGCTAACATGACTAAAGCTAGGTTATTCTGAGCACAATATGAGAAGATAAGACTCTTTGGAAAAGGCAATAATGGTAGGAAAAGTGGAGAACTATAGGAAGCATCAGATGGACTAACTCAATGAAGGAAGCCAAGAACTTAATTTTGCAAGACGTGTACAATTATTTATTCATTTACTTAAGTTAGGTATACCTTGCCTTTCTCCTCAGAGGGACCCAAAATGAGTTGCAATATTTAAAATAAACAATATAAAAATTGGACAAGGATCCCATGAAAAGCAAATCTGGTGGTAATAAATCAGAGGGTCTCCCTAAGACAGAAGCAACATGGCAGCACATAACAGTTTTCAGCTTAACATCGTGTCTTGATCCAAAATGTTAAGAACAAAAGTGAGTCTTGTTTCTGCTTACAGCAACACCAGTTCAGTAAATTGATTCCCTCATAGGAATATAGAAGCACTGTATACAATAATTACCTCAGCAAGGAAATTTCAATTTATTATTTTATGCATTTGCTGTGACTCTCTTTTCATGTTTAACATGAGGGCATCATAACAGATTGTCCCCCAAATCATTATTATAATTAATGTAGTGGAAGAATATAAAACATGCTAAAATAGATAGTAAAACATATGTATAACATTGACTTTACTGATGTTCTATTTTCACCTTTGTTCCAAAGAACACAGGGGTAAATCCAATTGTTCATCCCAGCTAGAGCAGACCCACTGAAAAATGAAATTTGTTAAATCAACCCTTCTCTATGTCCCTTTGATTCAGTGGGAGTAATAATTGGGGGTAACAACTAAATTAAGCCCAGTATCTTTAAGGGTTTTGCTGCTGTTCATCATCAGCAAATTTTGAAGGTACCTCCGCAACTTTCTACTCTCTTTCTTGTTCCCACTACCCCAGTGTTTTGAATACAATTGTATTAGATGGAGGAGCTAGGAATACAAGACACCAAATTACAACTTTTTATACTCACAGAACAGTGGTAAAAATATATCCATGTTCTTTTAAACCATGAAAATGTGAACTAGTCTTGTTACTCTCTGAGCTTCAGACACTTAGTGAAAGACTCCTTGTAAGCTGGAGTGTATTACATATCGTGGGATTTAATAAGTATCAGGTTTGAGTGGCTTGGTAAGTAAATCTAAAATTTCCCAAACTCTTAAAATGTTGTTTGGGGCCCTTTGGGGACATTTGTATAAATGGTTGGCCAGGAAAACCCTTAAACCTGAATAAAAACCAATTGCTGCTTTTAACCCCCTCTCTGCCAGAAACCTTTAACAATGTCTGAACTCAGCTTGAAAGCAGAATTTAATTCTTACTGTATTTATACCTGTATCTATATGGGAATTGTTCCTTTTGTTTTATACTCTTGCTTTCTTTAGATAAACTAAACAGAAGCTTGATGCAGAATGAATCTGCCTTGTCTTTCCCCCTCTTTTAATAGATCAACAGTTAATTAATCAACAGATTAGTTGAATTACAAATATATAAATAACAGAAATTATGAACATATTCATGGAAAATAATTTCCGTGAAAACAAACAAGTTAATGAACCACCATGCAATGTTGAAGTTTATCCAAACTTAAGAAATAACATCCTGTGACTTGTTGGTCTTATTGCAAAACTATATCTCTAAATAACCTTTTTGCAATAATCTGGAATAATATTTTTATGTAAATAACACTAATCATTACTTTTCCCGATTCCCTTTGGCATCTTTCTCTGAGTGTTCTTTATTTTAGGCCTGATTGCATAGCCCTGCATTTACCATATTTTTCAGTGTATATGATCCCCCAATGTATAAGATGACCCCCTAATTTTTACCCTTGCTGCTGAGCCTGTGAGTGGTGCTGGAGAAGACTGCAGCAGGAGGAGGAGGAGGAGACGGAGGCAAAGAAGCAG